CAAATTGAAGAGCGCACACTTTACATACCACGCTTATCTTGTTTCAAACTCCGCCTATTACCAAGAAACCTGGTGTGCCTAGTGTTAGGGTCTGCATGAGGGGCATTGATGCGAACTGTGTGAGCACCCTTAGAAAGACTTCACTTCCTCACGTGAAAATTCAATTGAGAATTGATTAACGGCCGCAATCATTAATTGCGGCAATATTGAGAATTATTCATAAGTCCAGCAGAAGGTAATGAGCAGCCGAATATGCCCAGTAGTGAGCCTGAAAGGATCCTCAAAATTGCGTTTCTGGGTACATCTCCCTATTGTTGGTTACGGGAGTGTCTCACCGCACCGCAGTTGGGGGGACCTATCCTCAGCTTGGTGCTTGCTTGGCGAGCGTGTTTGTCAGATTGTGTTGAAGTGTTTGGAACTCATTAGGTGATTCATATCTTTCAGGCTGATGAAGTAACTGAAAACGCCGCTGGTCAAACGGCGAAACGGAAGCGTGGTGGGAAAGACAAGCCTGTCGCGGTTAATGAAGAGTCATGGTTAGCATTTCCTGTGTTTGCTTCTCCTTAGCTTTTCGATCGCTTTTTCCCACAACTTTTAATTGCCAGCTCTTCTGTTTATTAGCGGGTAATCTACTCTATTAGCTGCCCTATCTCTTCATTTTCATCAGACAGTCAGACAGACATACCCACCGACACACAGGCATACATGCATTCACATACCCACTTGATATTCGAGTTAGTGCTTTTCATAACAGGTGTAATATTCACCTATACATGTAGATGGAGAAAACTGGGATCTAGTTTTGAATGTTGGTAATGTCGGCTGCTTGCACATTGAGCAGCAAGTATCATTAGAGAAGTTTATAAAGCAGTGAATTAGCGCTTCTAGCTTCCTCAAATGCAGGAATTCATTTAGCCCACCTGCAGAACCCGACGACGACGCCGAAGCAGCATTTATGGCACTTATGGCAGAGAAAGATCCCATCCTGGGAAAAACACGGGCAGACGTCTTGGCTGGCTCATCAGATTCCACGAAGTTAGTGTCAACATATCATGTACTTTCATAACTTAAATTATTACAAGAGTTTTGCCAACTCCATCTCCTGTTCGAAGCTTGATGATTTCTACTATCCCTTTTTCCAATACTTTTACTCCTTTAGACGATTAATTGTGTTGGCTTGTATTCAGAGCCTGCGCTTCTTTGGAGACTGTTGCTTCTACATCGTCTTCGTCTGTACAGTCCGAGCAACCTGTGACGCAGTCTAAAGAGACAGCAGTTATTACAGAGGTCTTCGATTTTGCAGGAGACGAAGTAAAGTACGTTAATAATATAATTGGCCCGTTTATGTAGCTGAACACTTGGAAACGCACAGTTGAAAGTTATCACAAGAATGCTGAGTTGTGGGCAAAACTTTCGCCCCAGCCGGGATTCGTACCCGGATCTCTTGCTTTCCGGGCAATTGTGCTACCAGTTACACCACCGGGGCACCATTTCACCCCAACTCAGCTTCGATGGTAAGTTACCATAGCTTTCAGCACTCACACGTATAACGTGTTGAGCCGGTTAGCCGATATCGGCAATGAACCGCGAGGCTGAAAGCTTTAGCAATGAATTTTGACTTGTTTTGTTTGTAACTGCTGTTTTACGCCCGCAGTTCGCGTTGCGAATGTTTCACAAGAATGCTGGGTTGTGAACAAAACTTTCGCCCCAGCCGGGATTCGTACCCGGATCTCTTGCTTTCCGGGCAATTGTGCTACCAGTTACACAGTTGCACAGTTGAAACTTCTTCCTGACGCTCATATTTTTGACAAGTTCCATGTCCATGTTAGTCCATGACGTAATGACTTGCAGGGTGCAACGGGTAGTTTCTGCAGAAGAGGCCAAGGATATTGAAGCCAAAGAAAAACGTAAGGAGAACGAAAAGTCGAAGAAGCCAACTCAAAAGTGAGTGAACATTTTCTGCTTCCATATGCCGCTATGTGAAACAGCGGGCCATTTCTCATCTCTAAATTCATTATTCAGACGGCTTGGAATTGGCGCGGCATTAACGTTGTTGGCCAAGAAACCGAAAATGTCTGTCTTAGACAAGTCAGATCTTGACTGGAATCTTTTCAAAACTGAAAAGAATCTTAAGGTATCAGTTATGATTTTGGTGTAGTTTTATCGCATTAGCCCATTTATAACAATTTTCTGTCTTTTTGTGATGGACGGGGTGAAGCTTATATTAAAAAGGGCCGCATCATCTTATTTTTATGGGATCAAAATATTATGAAAGGTAGGAATAGGGTTAATCGCGGTAGCAGCCATCAGTGGAGATCAAATAAGGAGTCGTGGGTATTGCAATGTAGGAGAGCGGGTACCGACTAACGAAGGTAAGCGCCCTCCTCTCCCGTAGAAGCTATGAAAAGTGATCAAGCTCATATTAATCATCTTTCAAGGAAAGGCTCCCAGGTCGCCATGGCCATTCAAGAAGAGATGTATACGCCTAGATGTGCCTTTGAACGCTGATCTCAAATCTACCTTCCAAATCTGCTAAACGATTCTCTGAACGGAGTTATGAAGCAAAACAGCGCAACGGTAGTGGTCGGGACTCACAGTCAAAACGTCGTAGGATCGGTCCCTTATCGTGTTTACTGTTTTCCATTCTTCAGGAATACAGCTAAACGGCTTTCAATAGCCTATTCAACTGAATTTTTGAAGAATGCAAAACAGTAATTACGATAAGGGCCGATCCTACGACGTTTTGACTGTGAGTCCCGAACCACTACCGCGCTGTTTTGCTTCATAACTCCGTTCAGAGAATCGTTTAGCAGATTTGGAAGGTAGATTTGAGATCAGCGTTCGAAGGCACATCTAGCGTATACATCTCTTCTTGAATGGCCATGGCGACCTGGGAGCCTTTCCTTGTAAGAAGTGATTTAACATGAGCTTGATTCCTTTTCATAGCTTCTACGGCCCCTTCTTTACCGCTGCATGAGTTGTTAGGAGGTGATTTGAAGACGTGGAAGAGAAACCTATTAGTAGTTGTAGTATTTGGCCATTTGGGATAACAATGATCCCAGGTTTGACAGTGATGTCCTGGAGTGAGTTTAGCTATTTTCCTGCATCATTCGAAAGTATTCCCCTAAGTTGTTCAAGTCAAGTCATGTACAGCCCTACCATATTTTTCTTTCCAGGGTTGTCTGATTTGTTCTGGACTCTTCTAGAAGGATAAAACATTCATTCGTACATAAGCTGACCATGTAAATTCGCTGTACAGGCCGCATTACATTCTAATGCTCCAACGATTCTGAATTGGAATGAAATCTATGGTGCTTTCCGAAAAGAAATTGATTGAACGCCGAGTGTCATATCTTTCGTCGGGAGTATGACTTATACGTTTCACTTAATTGAGCTTTGTCGCGCTCACCTTTAGTGCCCATAGCGGAAAACGTGTGCTTGGGAAGTCTTTTAGACTTGACCTAGTAATATGAGCGGCAAATGCGCTCTGAAAAGGTACCTCAACAGCCACAGGCCGCAGCTAGTTTGTTATTGCTTTTTCAAGGCAAACACCTTTATAGAATTTTACAAGGAATTTGTCTGTTCTTGACCAACTTAGCTGTTTTAGGAAGAGTTGGAGACGTTCAACCGCGGAAAGAATGGCTATTTGGACAAAATGGAGTTTCTGTCAAGAACTGATTATAAAGAATTCGAGAAAGAAAAAGCTTTGCGGAATGCAGCACGTAAACCAATCTAGTCTATGTGGTATACCGCGATGTATGACTCTTATATCAAGAGTCTCTTTGTTACTTATGGATCTGTGCTCAATATGTGGAGCTACATTGAGAAGTTGCTAGCGAGCTCATGTCATTTTCAGTTGTCAGCAAGTTTTTCCACCAGGTTTTGATCCCTGTGTTACGTTGTTTTCATCATGAGCCAAAATGGCTACATTTATATAGTTTTAGTGATTTTGTTCCTTGTTTTCAAAGTTGTTGTTGTATTTCCATTCTTTCATAAATTTTGTCACCATTAGTGTAATGATCGATTGACGGTGTATTTGGTTAGTGGTCAAAGTCCACATTGAAATCGACTTCGAGGAATTTCGTCCGCATGTGGTCGTGTCAAGTTATAACCAACGTACAGTTGTATTTCGTACACTTGCAGTGTTCGATACTCAGTGCTATAGTTTCTCGCTGTTTTAGGTGGTTTTACCTTCATGTGCTTGAACAGCTGTGACGCAGTATGTCTGTGATATATGCTCGTTGTGAAGTGATTGCTGAGTGACTCTTGCGACGCACATTTATACGGCGCTTTTCTTCCTGCAACGCCTGTCCCCTCTTGTTAACTAAAGGGTTCCTTATGGCGGTAGGTCCGTTAGCTTTCTGTCTAACGACAGAGTAGGCAGTCCCTGCTATCGCGATGCGGACCTATCATAATTTCGTTGAGAGCGTTTGTTTGCATGACGTTTCGGGAATCAGTGATCAAGCGGTCTTTTCCAAATCATGCGACCTATGCTGAGCTGATCTTCGATTTACTCGTCACTTAAGCTGATCGATAATATCACCTTTTACACCTAGGTGGCCTTTTGGATAATGCTGATCGGCTTTCTGTGTGCCTCTGTAAAGTTTACTCCCCTGGGTTCGAGTGGGAAGAGCAACTGCATCGTTGATGTGAGGACCAGGTCGGGCGTTTTTTAGGGCTTTATTCTCAAGACTTTTACCTCGTGCATGAACAGCATTCCTCAACTTCTCCAATATATGTAGCCCTCGTCGAATTCTTATCTTGTTATCTGTGAGCTTCAAACCATCTGGAGGGTAATCCTCAACTCGAGAAACCAAGAGTCAGATAGTTCTGAACATGTTTCACCTCTGAAGGCTTGAGCTGCTGATTCAGTCAGTGATTTGGTGGTAT